ATAGATACGTACCCTCCCCACTCACGCCTGAGCGTGCCCGCCCAACCATTTCCTCAAAAAATTCATCGTGTTGCGCAAAATACACAGCCGTAGCTTCTCCTTCCGGGAGGCTCTCTTGCTCGTCCACGTGTTGAAGGCTTCCCTGGTCGCTGCCATCGACTTCTTGCGCACTTCCTGCGCAGCCGCAAGCGCCTTCGCCTCGGCTGCCTTCTTCTGCTCCGGCGTCTTCCCCGCCCCCCTCGCCTGAATCACGGCATCTCCCCTGGCGGTGGCTTCTCGGTGCTTCCCCCACTCCTTGAGATCGCGGTACTCGAGGTAGTCCTCCAGGCCCTCGTCGTAGGCTTCGATGTACAGCCACGTCACCCTGCTCCATGCGCGGATAAACCGTGCGGGTACGCCGCTCAACGCGCCGGGCAAGACCTGGAGCATGTGGCGAAGGGAATACTCGCAGTGGAGGCGGAGGAGGTGCTTGATGTACCCCCAGTATCGCTCGATTGAGTTGAGCTCTGGGTGGTACTTCGGCAAGAACATGCACAGGTGCCCGTGTGCCTTGAAGAGCTTCTCAACCATGTTGAGCTCCTCCCTGAACGCCTTGAGCTCAGACAGAACGCGCACGACGCAGCAGCGACGCCTCTTGCCTGCTTCACCAGCTGCCCCGCTCCCACCCGAGTCCCCGTCCTCTCCGCCGTCCTCCTCTCCCTGCCCCGTGTTGTCCACCACCTGCTGCCGCCCCTCTCCACCGCGGTTGAAGGCGGTAATGGCTTGCCTTGTTGCCGCCTTTTCCGCCCTGCACGCGCTGCACTCGTGAACGCGTAGGGTTGGCTCGCCTTCCCACAGCCCCATCTCCATGAGCAGCTGCTTTCCTCCTTTCGGCAGGCCGATGAGAACGGCGGTGGGGCCAGTCGCCTTGACCTCGTCGTCCTTCTTGAACTTCCCGAGGTTCTTGCCGTTCTTTTTGGATTTCTTCACCGGCAACCCCTTCTCCTCCGCCTCCTCTGCCGCTTTCTTTTCCGCCTCGAGCTCCTCCTCCGTTTTCGGGGCAAACACGTTCGTGGTAAAACGGAGCTTGTCGCCGACCCTGAAGGTGGTGTGCACGGGGTTCCCCTCGTCGTCCTCGAAATTGCGAAGAGCGCCCTGCGCTCCCCCTGGCCTCAGGGCAACGTGCTCACCCACCAATGCGCCGGCGCCGAACGCCGAGTGCCCGGTAGAGTTGTCGAAGACCATGACCAGCTGCCGGTGTGGCTCGCTTGTCAGCTCGTGGATGGCGATGAGCCCCGGAATTTGCTCCAACATCCGTGCGCAGTTCCAGTACCCGTCTTGGTGTTGCCCTACAGTCATGATGACCGCCGCCGTGGAAGGGTCGTTCTTCGTTTTCTTCACCTGGCAGGCGCCGGGAATCCCTTTCAGCAGCTCGACGGCATCCTGCACGAGCTTCACGGCATAGCCGTCATTCCCCTCGCCCTCTTTCCTGCCGAAGTAGATTCCGGAACGCTCGTAGCGTCCGGGAAACACCCAATGCATCGGCGCCTCCCCGTCCGTGGGAGCCGGCCGCGCGACCTCAACCGGGTTCTCCTTATCTTCGACCACGTTCATGTCTTCCTGCATCATGCCCCAGGCCTCCTTCCCTATCGCTGCGACCCCTCTATCCACCCCAATGATGTCAGAGATGTGCGCGGCGCGTCCTTCCCCCTTCTTCTTGATGGCGGCGCCCTTCAACACCGACACCCACTGGTTGCTGCCGTCGTCGTTCTCCTTCGCCGTGGTCTCGTCGTGAAAGTAGAGGGCGAGGACCTCGTGGTCGGGCACCAAGCAGAAATCCCCTCGCCCGTCCCGCCCCAGCAGGTCACGCGGGTTGAAAGGGACCCGCGAAGAGCTGTCAAACGGCTTGCGTTTGCAATCGCGGCACTCGCACCGCAGTGAGACGTTGAGAACGTTCGGTTTTATCCGCACGCAGTCCCCGCAGGGACGCTCGCCGCCGTGGACGTGCACGTGTTTGTACTCCGTCTCTCCATCCACGATCCGCCGGGCTGGCCAGAAAAGAGCTTCCTCCTTCTTCTTCTTCGCCACGTACAAGTCGCGCACTTGGAAATCGGGCACCAAGCTGTAGTCCCCCTTGCCATCGCGCATCACCAAGTCGCTCTTGTCCACCGGTACACGCGTGCAGCCACGTTCCCCCCCCTCGGCCCGAAGTTCGCCGTGAACTAGCACGTGCTTGACGTCCTCCTTGCCGTCCGCCGTGCTTCGAACTGCTGGCCAGAACAGCGGGTCCGAACCGGTTGCCCATCCCTCAACGACGTCGTCGTCGTCGCCTCCCCCAGTAGATGCGCCCCCCCCTTCGGGCGCGTCGCGTACTCTCGCCATCGTCACAGTTTCTACCTGGACGGGGCTGTCAACACACACGGGGAAAAAAGACAAAAAAAATGTTGGTACGTGTGTCGCGGTTGTCGAACGAGAGTATCGAGAAAAGCTACCATGTACTTCAAGAACACCGCTATTTGTTTGGCGGTCCCGGCGGGGGGAACACTGCTGCTGTTTCCTTTTTCATCGCTCTGCCGGGGGAACAAAAAAAATGGACGAGAGGGGGAAGTTTTTTTTTTTCAACGATCCTCCCGGGGTCCAAGCTGTTGATTACTGGCCGGTCGATTTTTGGGGGTCGGGAGATCACAAGGGAGACTACGTTTATCCTGTACAGCAGTGCGGTGAAAGAAGCACGCCACGATTATAGTTTTCCGGTGATTTTCATCACCAGCAACCACGTACAGGAACGTGCCAACCCACCAAGAGAAAAAAAAAAGTACCAGGTAGCGGCGCGGTATCAAGCTCAACTCTGGCAGTCTGGTTTGGTCGTGCAAGACACTGAATGACGCTAGAGGACAAAAAACAACAAACAGCTTGTCTCCGCCTGCCCTTGAACGACTATTTGCCGCAAGTAGGAGCCTGCCCCGGGCCAGTCTCTCCGCGCCACTCACATGGACATCATCTTTCGCAGGATGAGCATCTTCGCCACGTACTCCCGCCGGGCCTCGACGACATCCGGGCGGTTGTGGCCATCGACGTAGACGCACTTCCCGCTCTTCTTCCACCTGAAGCCGAGTCTGCAGATCCAGCTGTGCGCCGTTGTCCGAGAGATGCCTCCTCCGCCGGAAAACACTTCTTTCAGAAGAACAGTGTTCACCCACCTATTTTGCAGTGGAGAGGAAAGCGGTAACAGAAGAGAGTTGGAGAAATTAGTCCACATGTATCCACAACACACGGGCGCACACAAGACGAACACAAAACCAACGCCGTTCAATCCAACAGGAACACTAACCGCGCGCTCTCTCATTTTCACGTCCGTCCAGTTCCCTCTGAAAGTCCGAGACACGAAACCGCGGATCCGTTTTCTTCCGGCGGTAAAGCCGCCGGTCGATTTCCTCCCGGCAACGCTCGGGCGATGTCCTCGTCGTCAATGAAGGAGTCCGCCTGGCTTATCTCGTAAAGTCGTTTTCTGATGAGAAATTTTCTTGGCAGAACTCCTTTACCCACTTGCGCACCGTCTGCGCTGTGGTTTTCGCCACATCTCCGACGTAGCAGCTGTGCCGCATCTTGTTGACACCTTCCTCAATCCTGAAGGCAACGACGTCAACATGGGAACGATGAGTGCTTCACACAAGAATATTCTTCAAGCCTTCGGCGTTACGACTCTGAAGAGAGCATGGCAGAAATACACAACGTACCCCGTGCGCCCGGTCACACATAGGAAGAGGGTCCAAAAATGCAACAAACAGATAATCACCAAACGTACCAGCTACACATGCTACTCGGCAACCACTTCGCCAGGGAACATTGTATACATGTACAGAGCACGCCACGAACCAGAGGGCAAGGGCGATCTCAAAGAGCAGAAATGCAGCAGTGCGAGCAGCAAGCACACGGCGCTTCTTGGGCGTTTCCACTTACTCGAGGACAGCGTACGCCCGAATCGCCAAGGCGGTACGCATGATGGACGGGAGACGAGATTCCGTCAGCATTTCCGTCGGGTCCTCCACAATACCGCTGTAGCTGTTGGACTGCTCCGCCTGTACGGAGGTGTGCACAGAAATTGAAATTCAAGCAATCAAAACCGGGAAGGCGTCAGATTGAGGGACATGGTTGCATTCAACAGTTGCAAATTATTATTGACAGACAAGCAGGAATGGTTTCGGCAGTGGCACTAGCTCCACAACAAATCCAGGATACAGGAAACAGCAGCCACGAGGGAAGCAGTATGCTAGCAGCAAACTAATCAACGGCAACAACACTACCACGCAACACTCTGAAATACATTGCATACTTATTCACCTTGTCGATAGCGTCCACCACTTTCTGGTAGATGTCCAAGAGCTCCTTCTCTCGCGGCGTGTTCTCCCGCCTTCTCTGCGCTTTGAGTGCTCGCTCTCGCGTTCGCTCTCGCGCTCGCTCTCGCGCTTCTCGCTCTCGCGCTCGTTGTTCCGGTGTCTTCTTCCTCTCCTCGCGCCTTCTGTGCTTCAATCGTTTTTTGTTCAACCCCGCAAACCTCCCCTTGGCTCCATCCCCCGACGCCACCCGTGTTCCTCGCCCAGGCCCACTGCATCGGCCGCGTGCCCCGTCTCGTGCGCGGGCGGGGTCGGCGTACAGCCCGTCGAAAAGGTTCGTCCTCGAACTTTTTCGGACGGTCTCACCACTTGTACCGCTAGAGGCTGCGTGCCCGGCTCCTCCCACAGCTGCTGTTTCGCCGGTGTCTCCCACAGCTTCTGCTTCGCCGGTGTCCTGAGGCTGAACATCATCATCAGCCTTGTCGCCGCTCTCTCCGTCAAGTTCGCCGGGGCCGCGAGAGCGGTCGCGGCTTGCGTCTAGTGCGTCGAGAAAACTGTCCTCGCCGCTGGAATAAAGAAGCTCTGCAGCTCTAGCCTGGTCATCCTCACCAAACCAATCTTCCAGCGGAACACCAACACCCGAACATACCAGCATGTCGGTCTCGCTCTCGCTGCTGTCGCCACGGCTGGTGCGGTCATGTTCTTCTTGCGGGCTGCAGATCTTCTCGGCATCATGATCACTGCTGTCCGCACCAACATCTCCCACCTCAACATCCATCTCCACCGCACCTTCAGTCTCCATAATTTGAGGCGAACCATGCTGCCCTTCCTGCTGCTGAGCTGGGGGCTTCAGCCATGCTGCCAAGCTCCCCGCCATCCCGGCGTCCTCCTTGCTCCACCGCGCTCGCCTGTGGCGATGCTGCGTCGACCGGTGGAGAGGTTGCACCGCGTTTTTTCGCGCAGGCGGCGCGACTTCGGGCGCCACCGCCATTGCTGTGCGAGCTGCTGCAGACACCGCAGCGCTCGCTGCAGAGCGAACCGCAGAACCAAACGGCAGTTTCGCCTGCCCGCGACCTGGCTCGCCACCCGCATCCTCATCGCGCCAGTCGTCGTCGTGGTCGTTGGTGTGCATGGGAGAAATATTGGCGCCTTCATGGTCGGAAGAGGGAGGAGAGTCGTTGCCTACAGCAGGGTCCGCAGGGGGCGAAGGGGCCTTCCGAATCGTGCCGTCGGCGTTCCTTGGCAGCTTGCGCTTACCCTTTGGGCGACCCATGTGCCCGGAGCGCGTGTGCGTCTTTCGTTGCGTGCGTAAACGGTGTGTGTGTGTGTCCTCTGGTGTGTGTGTGGCGGGAAAAAATTCCCCGAGGGCGTGTGAAACCACCCGAAATATCTCCGAAACCCGAGTTTTTTTTTGAAATCGGAAAAAAATCATCGGTGGGAAATCACGAGAGGAATCGATTGCAGCACTTTATTTTTGAATCGTACGGTTGGATTGTCCCCAAGAAACTAAGCAAAATACCCTCCAATATCCGTTTTTTTGCCCATAATAACTCCGTTATTTTTTTGTCAAATTGGAAATCGGAAAAAAAATCATTGGTGGCAAATCACGAGAGCTGTCCAAATCCGGTCTCAGATTTTGTGTCTGCAAAAAACACCGCCCTCCAGAAAGTAAGCAAAATTTCTTGAATATCTGAACATATCGAGCGAAGGACGAAAAAAAAAAAAAAACTCCGTACGAAGATGCACCTTGAAACGTCGATTTACGCGGTATTTTCAGATTTCGGAATAAGTACCCCCACCCCGAGAAAAGTGCACCTTTGTGCAGGGGAAAATATTGTGAATTTTTCCGGAAACGGACCATAACACGGGGCTATTTGGCCAGTTGTCATTTTTGAAAAAAAGACAGCCTAAAACAAGACATCGTAACAAATGGCCTAAATGTCCAATTATTCCACGGAATATATATATCTCACCTTCGGGTGCGTCGAATAGAGCAGCCTCGCCGTTGCTCTCTGCGAGCAGGCACCAGTAGACACCCTCCGTGAGCGCGAACACGGCCGTTCCACCATCAGCGTTTCTCTCTCCGTTTCTGCGTCGAAAGTCACAGGCTCACCCGAGATCTGCTTGTAGAGTACCGGGTTGGCTGCGTCGGGGCTACCGGGCAGGGGAAGCAGCTCATCCTGTCCATCGAACACCTTGCATCGCCCGCCATCATCACAGACAAAGAAAGGAGTTATCATCAGGTGTTGCGTTTTGCGGAGAGCGAGCAGAGAGAGCGAACTGCACCCAGGTGGTCTTCGAGTTCATGTGATCGACTGGGAGATACTAGTCTAAAGTGTGGTAGACTGCGGTTCTGTCATGCAAGTAGTAAGCGATCAATTTCGTTCTTCGATTGTTGCGCATGTATCATGCGCATGCTCGCATGTACAGCAGCAGATGTTATGACATCGACAGCGAGCGGCACCTGCGCATGGCGTAGCGCGGCAAGTCTATCGTAGTTTGGTAGATGCACACATACCTGGGAGGGTAGTGGAGCGAGGGTGTCGCAAGCCCGACTAGCCTCTCCAAGCTCTCCCTCGCAAACGCTGCGGGTCTGAGCTTCGACGCCACCAAAAGCATGCAGGAGGAGGAAAGCCGTGGTGATGGCAGCGCCGCGGGAAAATCTGGCCATTCCCGTCATATCTTCGAGGCGCGTGCGGGCTGTGTGAGGCAACACAATGAGTCTGTTGGTTCTCAGGTTGTGTGGCACGGTGGTGGTGGTACACTACTAGCGGTTGTGAGACACAAATGAGAAAGGGTTGAATCGATCGGAAGATTAAGATTCCCGCACCGATTTTCTTCATCCCCGATGAACAGCCCGATTCGTCCGCCTTTGTCCCGCCTCTTTGTCCCGCAATGCAGCACGGCCACACAGGCCTCTACAAACGCCGGCAAATGATAATAATAATCCAGAAACCCAACCACACGCCTCTATCGGCGGCCACGTCAGGAGGCAATGATGATCTCCCGTGCCCTTCTCACATTTAACGACATGCCATTACACAACAAGAAGGTGAATATGTTCTCCCGCGCCGCACATGCCCCCATACGGCACACACAAAAAATAAGTTGATGACGAAAATATACACACCCCGAGACGCGCTTGCTCCGCAAACACATAAGGGTGCCATAATAGAACACACCCGACATACCGAGTTCCCCTATAAATCTTCCGTCTACAACTTCCCAACATAACATACACATAGATACACAAGATGGCTACCAAACTGCCTTGTTGAGCCTTACCCACAGGGGAGATATCGTTGTATGTTGTCTGGGAAACCGTAGACATAGACTACAGGTAGCCTCTCGCTCACTCACGCTATGGATTCATTGCTGATCTATCTTAGACTTATTTCTTCTGTAGATAGAGATGGATTTGTTGTGCGATATTAAGAAAATAAAAAAAAAGAAACAAACAAACGTTAGGCAACTTTTCCTTCGTGAGCGTTCGTAGGCTGGCATGACCCGACAGCGTGCGCGCTGGTTGCAGAGCGAGCATCACTGGGGGTGTAGACTAGCACGCAGTGGGCGGGAGGGACCTTATTTTTTCCCTCCTACATTGTAGGCATGTTGTATACCTGGTCATTTCTGCCGGATCTTTTCCCCTTCTTTTCCAGACACTTTTGGAAGGAAATAGTCCAAAGTCCGTGGGCGCAGGCTAACAACAACAACGACGAGAAAAAGAGCAGGAGTTAGGTGTGGTACGTACTACGTGCAGCAGTAGTCCGTAGAAGCGAGCGACAGCATCGTCAGTCAGTCGAGTCTGTGTTTGATTATCTTCGCGGCTGTTACCTTCAATTTTCCTCTCGGAGGGAGAAAGGCTATGCACACAACCGTTCAGTCATGTCATGTCATGTCGGCAGCTATGCGAGTTCCTTACGGCTGTCTCCTAGGCAGTGCTCGACCCCAGACCGGCATCGGCCAGATGATTGAAGCGGGCGCGGCCTCTATATGCCCCTACATCGGAAACACAAACGAGGTGACGCGTTCGTTCGTTCGTTCGTTCCGCTTTCGTGCCAACACCATTCGATTAACAGAGCAGCAGGTAGCTGGTGCCGGGGGCAGCTACTAAGTAAACAGCGGTTGGCTTGGCTCGAGAGGAAACAGAACAACAGTGTGCTTGAAATACTCCGTACAGAATGGGGTTGGTTGCATCATCAAAGTAAAAAAATATCAAGCAGCAAGTGGTTCGTGTAGATGATGCCAACAAGCCTAACACCTCACTACTTACTGTTATTCTATCAGAAAACCAGCCATGTTCACCACTTCCTTTCGTCCGCCGAACAATACCAACTACTTCCAAGTAGTCGGCGAGCATTGGGCCGCCGGAAGACAACAAGACAGCAGACAGGGGGGGGGGGGG